ACAATAGCTTATGTGCAAACAGAGCACATATGAGCTAAATCACTATTCAAGGGTCATTTTAACAAGCATGATGCAACACTGAGGCACAAAGTCCATGCTAAAAAAGCAGCAAAATACAACCAAATAAAGGTTTTATTTAAGCCAAATGTGTATAGGTCCCCACTCTATCATTCAACTAAAAAGATTCTTGGGGGTAGATACATGGTTTCTTCTTGATCTCTATATTCTTTGGAGTATTATCTTTCAAAAGTTTTCCTTATATACCCCCTAAAATAAAACTGGGAGGAAAAAAATCCTTGAATACTTTTAAGTTGATACTGAAAATCTTTTTATAAGAAGTTTAAATGATTGCAAACGCTGTACTTTCCTTTACAGATCACCATAGGCCAACTTAAAACTGACATCTAAAAAATGATTATGTCATTAATTTAAATACATCCAATGAAATCTAAACACTTGAGCAATTTGATAACCACCATCCTCCATTTCAAAACTATAATAGAATCTTCATTTCTTATATGAAATGCTACACTACTTCTTTCTCTCCTTGAAATTATATTTCTATTCTTCTTCCATAGTATTTCAATTTAATATAATTTCTTTTATCATACTTAACTATAACAAAAATATGAGTATTATTTTTTATTTAAAGTACTTCTTTTGGATTGAGTTCCTGTTACTTTTATTAGTTACAACTGGTGAAAACAAGGCAAACATATATAGCTCAGTCGTGTTCAATTCTCTGTGAGCCCATGGACTGTAGCCGTCCAGGCTCCTCTGTCTATGGGATTCTCCAGGCAAGAATACTGGAGTGGACTGCCATTCCCTTCTCCAGGGGGTCTTCCCGACCCAGGGATCAAACCCTGATCTGCACTGTAGGCAGGTTCTTCACTGCCTGAGCCACCAGAGAAGCCCATAAATTTTGATAACTAACCATAAAAATTAATTCCTTTTTTGGAGAGTCAGCTCTTACTCAGATGTATGGGAAAGGGTATACACCTTGATAAAGGGAAGTTTCATACTTGACATCAATGTCACAACTATCCCTTTGTTGGGACCCTGGAGAATTTTACACCTCAGAGAAACATACATTGGTGAGATTCAAGATGAGTGAAAGGTAAGCTTTTTCTTTTGTAAATCAGAAGAGCTGGAGATCAAACCAGTCAACCCTAGGGGAAATCAAACCTGAACATTCATTGGCAGGATTGATGCTGAAGCTAAAGCTCCAATACTTTGGCCACCTGATGGGAAGAACTGACTCACTGGGAAAGACCCCAATGCTGGGAAAGATTGAAGGCAGGAGGAGAAGGGGGCCACAGAGGATGAGATGGTTGGATGGCATCACCGACCCAAAGGACATGAGTTTAAGCAAACTCCAGGAGATAGTGAAAGACAAGGAAGCCTGGCGTGCTACAGTCCATGGGGGTTACAAAAAGTCAGGCACAACTTAGCAACTGAACAACAACAACAAAGGGAGGATAAGAAAAGAGAGTGAGGATTATGCCGGTATTGTCTTCAGACAAATCAATTTCACGGAAGAGTATAAAACATGAACACTGAGAACTCTCAAAACTATCCAGCCTAGATACCTTTAGACATGGACTCCAATTTGAAGATCACTGCTCTAAAGCACTCAGCTGGATTCATTTATTGGAACTCACTGAAATGATAACCATGCCTGACAGACACGAAAACTCACTGCACATTACCTGCTATTAGGCAAATATTATTTTTCCACATCTCTCATACATTTATTTAAATAAGACTAAAGTCTTATTCAGATATGGCAGTGTGATTTATTTTTAAAACATATAGTTCAGTCTGCCAAAGAATAACTGATCAAGATGGTTACCATGTGGTACCCCTTCTACCCATATAATGATTTTTATACCACAAACAAACAGATTACCTGGAGAAAAACTAGAAAGTGCTTTAAGCAAATATGAGAAAATGTCACTGATGAAGATTGTATTTTTGACTTCTATGAAAACCCAAACTGATTTAATTTTAAAAATTAATACAAATACTTTTAAATACATAAGGCCTATTTCCTTATAGTTCACAATGAGACACATTTCTCAAGATCTGTGAGGTACACATCCAAGATAAAATGGCAATAACTTTAGCCTAAATTTAACAGGTCAGAACCTGCTCTGTTTAAAACACTTCTTGATCTCTCTACATGTTAAGATATTTGTCTGGACTCTACGAGAAGGTAATTCCATCCTTATCTGATCTGCTCCTACTTTTACTCTGCCCACTATTGTCACAGGGCACTGAGCAGCTACCAGGCTTAGGTCTGACAGTCACCCACTCCCTGCTCCCACTAACCTTTGGCCTTACTTGGAGCTCAAATGTAAGTAACCTACACTCATGTTCCATCACACCAGGCAAACAATACACTAAACCAGATCACAATTTAATACAGGAAGCTGGGACTGTACTTTGGAGATATAATTCCCATACTATGAAATTCACCCTTTTAAAGTATATAATTCAATGGGAGTTTTGTGTGTGTGTGTGTATCTGGAAGACTGTGCAACTATCTCCGCTGTCTAATTCCAGAATGTTTACATCACCCACAAAAGAAGTTCTATACCCGTTAGCAGCCACTCTCCATTCCCTCCTCTCTTATCCCCCTGCAGCTCCTAACAACCACCATCTACTTTCCGTCTCTGTTGATCTGCCTGTTCTGGATATTTCATATAAAGGGTACCATGCAGTGTGGGGCCTTCTGTGCCTGGCTTCTTTCACTTAGCAAAATGTTTTCAAGCTTCATCCATGTTGCTGTCTTATCAGTACTTCATCACTTTTTATGGCTGAAATATATTCCACTGCATGGAAATACCTCATTTTGTTTTTTCATTCATCAGCTGATGGGTATTTGGGTTGTTTCCACTTTGGGGCTATTATGAATACTGCCACGATGAACATTTGTGTACATGTTTTTGCGTGAACATATGTTTCAGATTTCTTGGGTATATACCTAGGAGTAGAATTGCTGGGTCATATGGTAACTCTATGTTTAACTTTTTGAGAACCTGCCAAATTGTTTTCCAAAGTGGCTGTACTGTTTTATATTCCCACCAACAATGTGTGAGGGTTCCAATTTGGAAAATAAACTTTATTTTCCAAAATCTCTTCCTTTACAAGCCTTCTGCCTTCTTTAAAAAATGAGCCTGAGGATAACACAACATTGTAAATCAACTCTACTTCAATTTTGAGGAAAACAAACTCTTTTTTTCACAAGGCATTGTGTGTTTTAACACTAGCTTATTTTTAAAAATAATCTCTGTAAGAATATAAGCATTAAAGGAGAATATAAATGGTATGGCTAAAAAAAAATTAAGATTATCTTAACCAATATATTAGAATATTCAGGGGCTTCCCTGGTGGTCCACTGGTTAAGACTCCATGCTCTCAATGCAGGAGACACGGGTTCAAACCCTGGTCGGGGAACTAAGATACCACATGCCATAGAGCATGACCAAAACAAAATAAAAATAGAATATTCACATCTAAATGAGGACTGTGCCTCCTTTAATTACTTAAGGAGGTTATTCATCCATTCCCTCTATGGAAACTCCTCTTTTGAAATTAATTTCAAGGCCGGTTCATAAAAGCAGATAAAAATCAGCCTTACAATATCATATAGCCATACCTTTTCACTGTTAAGGACCACACACCATACTACCCAGTTTGATTACCCACCTAGTTTGTTTTACAGACATGAGTTCAAATGGCTTCTGGCCACTTCCACAAGTCCAATACAGCCCTTTAAAAAAAAAAAAAAGTTGGGGGAGAAGGAAGGAAGGGAGGAGGAGACAGATAAAAAGAAAAAAAGAAAGGAAACAAAGAGAAGCTTTTTTCCTACCACTGAGAATATTCTTCAAAATGGAATTTCAAAATGGATCTTGTATTATAGTACAATTATATATTATCAGTGGGGGAGGCTGGCAGAAAGGTACACAGTACTTTATGTACTACTCTGCAATTTCTTATGAGTCTATAATTATTTCAAAACAAAAGGGTTTCAAAATACATATCTTAAAAGAAGGGCAGAATTTCAAAAGAAAAATGGGAAAAGAATGGAAAACACTCCCAGTAGGTAAAAAGGGAAAACGTAATTCACATTACGCAAATCACAACTAGACCAGATAATCTACAAAGTTCATTCTAGCATACAAGTGGAATATAAGGTAGAAAAGATAATAGGAGCCAGACTGCGGAGCATCCTGAGTGGTAAAGCGTTTAGAATTTACCCTGTATACAAGGGTGTAGTCTTGGAGGATTTTTTTTAATGCATGAGAAAAATTGGAACAGGACTTCTGAAAGATTAACATGGCAGCAGTATAAAGAACAGACTGGAGAGAAAAGCATAAAGGTAGAAAGACCAGTCACTATTGCAATAGCCCAGACATGCTGAGGTGTCAAGGGCTGGCAATGGGACCAGACCACATGGGAGTGACTGACTTAATATTCCAGAATCATCTATAAAGAGTCCAAATCTGGCATTCATTATAAGCTCTATATTATGTTTACAATAAAGAAATCTCTTCTCTGAATCATTAAAAGGGAAAAGTTTTAACATTTTAATAAGAATAAAGTTGAAAAGGTAGAAACAGCTCTACTTATACTCAACAAAACAAACAAAAAGGCGTAATAGAAAATACTTTCTAGCCTGAACTGTGTCCCTTAAAACAAAAAACATTAGAGGTTCTCTCACACTCTGGGAGAAACTTCTGCAAAGACCACACGCCATCAGCTGCGTTCTGCCTGCTATAGGTAGGTAGCTTCATTGTAATGCCTAATTTCTGGTCAAAGAGCTCACTGAGGTTAGGAGCAAACAGTTGTGTCTCTAACGCCACACTTGCAGAAGCAGTAATTTCCAGAAGAGGTAAGATGCTGGTGGCTAAAATAGGGGAGGATCCAGCGCTTTATTATGAGGCAAGCAAACAGCACAACACGCTTTATTATGAGGCAAGCAAACAGCATGACAGAAACAATGTATATTGGGGGCTCCGGTGTACCAGATAGCAAAGACACAGAGATGACTAAAACACAAGTTTCACCTTTAAAGAAGACACAATCCACTGGAAAAAAACACAACAAAAAAGTAACTGTAATAAAGAGGGAAATGCTGTTGGGAGGTATGTAAGAGATGTTTTGAGAATAAGAATAATAGCCAATATTTAAGAAGTACTTCTTATGTGCAGGTTCTATTCAAAGCATTCTTCCCATATTAATTCACTTAATCCTCACAGGGAAAGCAACATTATCCACTTTTTATAGATGAGGGACACAGATAGGTTAAATAGTTTTATTCCAGTTCTACAGCTGTGTTATTAACCAAGACAGACTGACTCATGGACTTTAACTACCCACTATAAGGCCTCTTTAAAAAGGAACAATTAATGTTGCCTGGAAGGACAGTTAAGACTAAAGAGAAGAAAAAGAGTATATTAACATTATTTGTCAATGTACCCACCCACCACTGAAGGATGACCAAGAATTCACCAGATGGCTGAGAAGTCTGGGGAGGAGCTACGGGTACTTATTTGCAGGGAGTGGCTGAGGGGACAGCAGCCCAAGCAAAAAGAAAGGGGAAGCCACAGCAGCGGAGGACAAAGGCGTGAGAGCTGCGAGTGTGTGGGGCAGCTGCCCAGTGTCAGCAGACAGTTCCAGCAACGAGGGATGAGGCTAAGAAGACTGGGAGGGCGCAGGCCTTGAAGGTCCACACGTCACCTAAGAAGGACTCATCTGAGTCCTTCACTGCTGAGTGATATGAGCAGATCTGCCTTCAATAAAGATAAATCCTGGTGAAAGGTGGGAGGGAGCCTGTAGGCTGGAGACGAATTAGGAGGTTACACAATAATTCTCTGAGAAATGATAAGGAGTGGATGAATGCAAGCAGAGGCTTCTGAAGTACTGATAGAATCAACAGTAGCTGGTGACTAACTGCAGGTGGAGGATGAGGAAGAGGAGGCAGACTAAAAAAGGGATCTCTTAGGATTTTGTTCTGGGCAGAACAGGGCAAAATGAAGACTGAATTTTAGACAAATAGTAATAATAATAATTAATTAATTAATAATAAAGTCCTTTATCATCCTTTCTGAAAAATGGAGAAGCTGAGGCTTAAATAAGTAATTTACTTAAGGTCACAATCACTAAGCATCGAAGCCAGAGAATGAAAGACTTCAGACAGAGCTTAAGTTTGGCATGGTATCCAGTGAAGACGTGAAAGTGCTAGTCACTCAGCTGCCTCTAACTCTGCGACCCCATGGACTACAGCCCACCAGGCTCCTCTATCCGTGGAATTCTCCAGGTAAGAATACCAGAATGGGTAGCCATTTCCTCCTCCAGGGGATCTTTCCGACCCAGGGATTAAACCCATGTCTTCTGCACTGCAGGAGAATTCTTTACCATCTGACCCATGAGGTATCCAAATGTGAATCTCCAGTAGGCAGCTAAGTATCTCTGTATGGACCTCAGGAAGGCTGGCAATCCTAGAGGCTCGTTGTTGTTGTTCAGGCACTAAAGCTGAGTTCAACTCTTTGTGACCCCTGGACTGCAGCATGCCAGGCTCCCCTGTCCTTCACTATCCCCTGGAGTTTGCTCAGTGTCATGCCCATCGAGTCAGTGATGCCATCCCACCATCTTGTCCTCTTGCCCCCTTCTCCTCCTGCCCTCAATCTTTCCCAGCAGCAGGGTCTTTTCCAATGAGTTGGCTCTTCACATCAGGTGGCCAAAATATTGCAGCTTCAGCATCAGTCCTTCCAATGAATATTCAGGGTTGATTTCCTTTGGAACTGACTGGTTTGATCTCCCTGAAGTCCTACGGACTCTCAAAAGTCTTCTCCAGCACCACAGTTCGAAAGCATCAATTCTTTGGCACTCAACCTCCTTTATGGTCCAACTCTCACATCCATACATGACTACTGGGAATACAGAGCTTTGACTATATGGACCTATGCTGGCAAAGTGATGTCTCTGCTTTTTAATATGTTGTCTAGGTTTGCCATAGCTTTCCTTCCAAGGAGCAAGCATCTTTTAATTTCATGGCTGCAGTCACGATCCACAGTGATTTTGGAGCCCAAGAAAAAGTCTGTCACTGCTTCCACTTTTTCCCCTTCTACTTGCCATGAAGTGACAGGACCAGATGCCATGATCTCCATTTTTTAAATGCTGCGTTCTAAACCAGCTTTTTCACTCTCCTCTCTCACCCTCATCAAGAGCTCTTTAGTTCCTCTTCACTTTCTGCCATTAGAGTGGTATCATCTGCATATGTGAGGTTAGAAACAGTTACAATAACAACAAAACTACATTATCATCACTATTCCTACTACTAGTATTTATTGAGCACTTGCTGTAAATGAGACACAGTTTAAATGTCTCACATAGATTATTTCATCTATTCTACATGATACTGAGGTAGCTGTCACTACCGTCAGAGAAAAAAAGAGAAATGAAGTAAACTCTTCTGACCTCTCAGACAGAAAAGAACGGAATCGGATTCAAATGTGGGTCTTTCTGATCCGGAGGAGGCAGAGATGGGAAAGATGGCCTGAATGTGAGTGGGGAGGAAGAGCAAAGGACTGAACCCAGAAGAATTTAATCACTGAAAAAGCAAGTAGAGAAACAGAGTGGCAACGGGGCTTAAGAAGTAGTAGTTTCAGTGAAGGAAGAGAGAAATCAGAAGGCATTTCTGTTTTGAAAACTAAAGGAGAGGGAATTTTTAAAAAGAACCCATCTCCTCTGTCCATGGGATTCTCCAGGCAAGAATACTGGAGAGGGTTGCCATTTCCTCCTCTGGGGGATCTTCCAGACCCAGGGATTGAACCTGCATCTCTTATGTCTCCTGGTAGATGGGTTCTTTACCACCACCACCACCTGGGATGCCCTTAAAAAGAACACAGTAGTTAACAGTGTCAAATGATACAAAGAGCTCAAGATAGAACAAGATTTAAATCAGGTAACTAGGATTATCAATGAGGCACTGAAACCCTCCCCAGGGCGGCTGCTGCTGCTAAGTCACCTCAGTTGTGTCCAACTCTGTGTGACCCCATAGATGGCAGCCCACCAGGCTCCCCTGTCCCTGGGATTCTCCAGGCAAGAACACTGGAGTGGGTTGCCATTTCCTTCTCCAATGCATCAAAGTGAAAAGTGAAAGTGAAGTCGCTCAGTCATGTCTGACTCTTAGCGACCCCATGGACTGCAGCCTACCAGGCTCCTCCATCTGTGGGATTTTCCAGGCAAGGGTACTGGAGTGGGGTGCCACTGCGTTCTCCGCTCCCCAGGGCAGTTTAAGTGAAATTGCTGGGATAGATATAAGGTGTAGGAGAAAGGGAGGCGAAGAAAGAGAAGTCAGATGGTAAAAAGAAATTAAAAAAAAAGAAAAGGGAACAAGCAGGGGTCAGTGAACTACACACTGTCCCACATTTTCCATTGCTTATTTTTTTTAAACAACCTTTTAAAAATGCATAAAGCATTTTTAGTTGGGATATATAAAAAACAGGCTATAGGACAAACCTGCACAACTGACACGAGTTTGCCAGCTCCTACTCTGGATTGACTGGATTAATATCCAGCTCCTCACTCTCTGGGTGACCTTAAGCAAGTCATTTAACTTCTCTGTGTCTCGGCTTCTTCACTTCTTTGATGTACAGAAGAATAGGAGCTAGCTCTCAGGGTATTACATAAGGATCAGTAAATACAAGTAAAGCACTTGGATGCTGAAGAAAAGCCCTGCGGACGTGGAGGATCTGATAGAGCAGGGGTCCCCAACCTCTGAGCATGAGATGGTTAGAGAGCATCACCAACTCAACGGACATGAATTTGAGGAAACTCCAGGAGATAGTAGGGCTTCCTGGTGGCTCACACGGTAAAGAATCTGTCTGCAATGCAGAAGACCCAGGTTCAATCCTTGGGTTGGGAAGATGCTCTGGAGAAGGGAATGGCTATCCACTCCAGTATTCTTGCCTGGACAGAGGAGCCTGGCATATTGCAGTCCATTGGGTCGCAAAGAGTGGGACACAATTTAGCAGCTGAACAACAACCCCAGCCTCTGAGACTTAATGCCTGATGATCTGAGGTGGAGCTGATGCAATAATAATAAAGTATGCAATAAATGTAATGGGCTTGAATCATCCCAAAACCATCCCCTAACCTCTGGTCTGTGGGAAAATTGTCTTCCACAAAACCAGTCCCTGGCACCAAAAAGGTTGGAGACTGCTGTGTTAGAGAATAGGCAGAGAGAAGAGAACCAGCAGAGAAGGAGAGATATTAAGTGGAAAATGACTCATTTTTAAAAGTCCCAAAGAAGAAGCAGAGAAACAGAATGAAGACAGTGAAGGGGACTGCACAGAGCATAGGCTCTATCCCAACTGCTGGTCAACGTATAAACTGGATGCAGAATAATCTGTCAGATTTTATTAAAATTCCAAATGTGCACACCTTTTGACTCCAATACTGTGGCCACCTGATGTGAAGATCTGACTCATTTGAAAAGACCCTGATGCTGGGAAAGATTGAGGGCAGGAGAAGGGGACGACAGAGGATGAGATGGTTGGATGACATCACCGACTCAATGGACATGGGTTTGGGTGGACTCCGGGAGTTGGTGATGGACAGGGAGACCTGGCGTGCTTCAGTTCATGGGGGTGCAAAGAGTCAGACATGACTGAGCAACGGAACTGAACTGAACTCTGACTCTTTCTGCTCTTCTAAAACTTGTCTGAGCATTCATATCCAAGCAAGTATAAAGTTATGAATGCAAGGATGTTCCCCTTTCAGTATTTTTGGGAAAATGAAAAAACAGAAATAAAAGTTCATCAATTAGGGTACACAGACGAGAGCATGGGTTCAATCCCTGCAAGGGGAACTAAGATCCCACAGGCCATGCAGCATAGCCAAAAATAAAAGAAATAATACAGAGATATCCCTTACACTCTTTACCTCATTTCCCTCAATAGTGATATCTTGCAAAACTACAGTATAAAACATTAGCTCTTAACATAAAAACAAACTTAGAATAGTATGCATATTACATACACTCCCTTTTGGGTATTTAAAGTATCCATACAGTTTATATGTATAGGAGGAGACATACATTTGACTGCTAATAGTTGATACCTCTGAAAAATGGTAATGGTTAAGCAAGGAAGAAAATGAAGGAATACAGTTATACTAATTGCTCTTACTTACCAAGTACACACATTGCTTTTAAGGTATCAAAGGTAAACAGGTAGAGGGGTTAACTTTTGAAATAAATAGTGCGTGTATTCTTTCGATCAAAGGAATTTTTCATCTTCAAGCAGAAGGGGAGGAAACTGAGGACCTTCACACTGAAAGCCTCTGCTTACTCAATCAGGCAGAGAGGTGGCTGTCACTCGCTGTGTCCTAGCCTCCTCACTTCCAGCTCTGTTCGAGGCCCCTGGAGAATCCAAAATTAACTAGACAGGTGCCATCTCTGAACTCAAGGAACTCAACACCTACCAAGGAAGGTGGACATGAATCAGAAATGACACAGCTACAACCGCCAGTACCGCACAGCACAGCAGCTCAGAACACAGGCTCTGGGGCCTGACTGCTGAGGTTCAAATCCCAGCGCTCCTACCAAATCGCTCTGGGACTTTGGCCAAGCAACTTAACACTCTTCACTTCAGTTTCCCCATCTACAAAGTGGGGACAATTCTAGGTCCTGTTTATTTACCCATCTCTCTAGCCTATCAGATTGCTGTGAAAACTAAAAAAGTTCACATGTATAAAGTGCTTGGAAGGGTGTCTGACATACACACACTCAAATGTCTACTGTTATTGTTATTCTCATGACCATTAATTATTTCAGGGAGAATTTAAGCTATCTCCAGGCCAATGGAAGGTTAGGAAAAGTCTTCCCAAGGAACTGACATATATGTCTCAAAGAGGAGTCTGAATTAAACAGAAAAGAGAAAAGAGAAAACCTGTCTGGCAGAGGAAAGAACATATGTAACTACCCCATGCTAAGAATGAGCTTGGCATGTGAAGGATCTGAAAAAAAGCCCATGAAACAGGAGCTCTGAGAGGAGAGAGATGAGGCTGGAAAACTAGAAAGGGCATGTTAAACTTAACATGTTACCTTTATCTGAATAACAAAAGGGATCACACAAGAAATAATAGATTTGCTGGATTTCCTTCTTTTTATAAAAGATCACTTTGCTGGAGTACATGGAATCTTCTGTGACAGAAGAAAGTGAACCTGAGTTGTTTAGAAAGAACAGTCATTCTGGTGAAGGAGAAATGAAATCAACCACAGACAAGTAAGAAGACTACTAAAGAGAATAACAA